AGATCTAAATGGACGTAAGTCAGTTTATATACGGTTACCCCCGGCTCCAGACAGGTCCGGAAAAATAAACGTATCAGAGTTTTGTTTCAACGGACCTGACCGCGCCGCATCGGAGGTAATCTCATGTATACGGACACATTTACCCGTTTACATCCGATTCCCCATGGAGATCGCTGTGATTTAATTGTCCTGTAAATGAGAAGGCCACATGAACCAGAGCTGGTATGGCCAGAGGCTGGAGTTAAGCATAACAAGCTTCATTCTGTTAAGAACATATACATTACTAATTGAACTTTAAGTCACTTTTGTAGTGTTTTAAATTAACATGGTAATAACTGAGATTCTCTTTGCTGTATTTAAAGGATAAGGGCGGTAATTCATGAGAGGTTTACATTTTCATGCCATCATTCACCAAGTGGAATGTCCTGCTTTTGTGTTATTCTGACTCCGATTGTTGTATTAGCGATGCATCCCTTGCTGAGACTTTTATGCCTGGCCTGTATAAGCAGATATGATCACCGCGGACAATCCTTATCAGATAGCTGAACTCACCACTTTCCTCCACACAGACCTTTATTACATGCAGCAGGTTACAGCAGACAACAGGATGATTTAACAGACCGTATTTGAAGGGCAAAGATGGTAATGTTTCCAAGTGAGCATATTACATGTGGCCATTGGATGCAGCCATTTTACGAGAAAGACAAGTGGAGCAGAAAGGGGGAAATACTTCATAAATGGAAAGGAACACAGAAAACGTGGTGCAATAACCAAAATGCCCACAAGATGGCAGTATAATGATCAACTATACTGATACCAAAGGATAATGGCTTCAGCAAAATTAACTATATAAATTCTCAATTCACATTTGTATGAATATTAAAGGGTTATAGAGTAATATTGCAATAGTGCATACAATGGTTAATCAGAAATCTTAAATCTGCCTTTGCCAGTGCTTTAAAGGGTTATTAAACCCTCACGTTTTTTGCATATATCTACTGCTGAAACAGGTTTAAACTTACCTATGTCTTCGCCGCACGCTCCTGTCCTAACATCTGATTCTCGGGCAGCCGCAAAGGATCTTGGGGCGGGGGCATGCGCAGTTCAGATGTTGGGCCGGGAGATGAGGAGACACACAAGGTAAGTCTATGGAGCAGCATGCACGCGCACAGACTAAGTGGGACATCAGAGAAGAGGAGAAGAGAGGAGTCAGTGCTGGATCGGAGACCCGCACCAGCGCTGGAGAGACAGCTGAAAAGGACAGTAAAGAAGAAGATAATCGAATAAAGAAGCATGATTTAAGGTAAGTCCTGACACTAACATTGAGTGGGGGAGGGGTAGTCTTTAATGTCACTTTAACTATGGCTATGCATTGTGTCATATTTTTACAACTGTGTAACAGCACATGTGTTTTTCTGCCACTGGTAGACAGGAAGCCCAGAATGTGAGGGACCCAGCTCTGCTTCCTTACCAATTCCTAGTAAAGATGCTGAGTAGAAAAAGATGGGTAACCCTGGCAATTAATCAGTGAGAGTACAGCAGAGGTAACTCATGACAGATGTGGATGACACCAGGGAGGGATCCAAGGCTACAGATAGCTCCCTGGTGTGTCATACATCTTGTAGGTCGTTATAACCTAATTGCAGTAATAATATCCTGTATATACTACATTGTAGTAGTTCTATCTGCTTTGTGTGTTGTCTTTTTTAAAACAAAGTATGAGACAAATTTCCTCTTCAAGGCCTCATTCACACACAACGCAAGCAAAATTGTATATTGCGTATATACCAGCGTCTATGAGCTTATATACAAGCGTATGTGCGTATATGCGTGCACTATTTGCATTCCCAGAATGCATCATTCCTAATGGAACTTTTAATGAACTGTACGCACATATGTGTGTACACACACGCAAACATGCGTATGCGCGTAAAATATGCAGAAATACGCTGCCCGGACGCATCTCGGTTCCATTCTGTTTTTGCGCATATATACGCTACGCAAATATACGGCTCCATACGCGGCTATGTGTATGGAGCCATTTATTTGTATATGTTGCATATGGTACAATACGCACGTACGCGCGTATACGCACGGCAGTGTGTATGAGGCCTTAAGCTGAACTTCAACAAAAAACAAATATTGTCTAAATACAAGAAGCTAACAGAATGCTAAAGAGCAGGGGTCAAAATTTCAAGTCTTGAGCTACTAGCCAGGCCTTAAGGGTTACTCGCCACCAGTTGCCCACCTAACCTCTACTTGTCTTTCTGCAGGGAGGAGGCGAGCAGGCAGATCCCTGGTGATCTAGTGTGATTAATAAGGTTTGCTGCAGACCTTACTAATCACTTTGTTTTCGACCCGGAGCTCAGTGAAGAGCTACGGCTGAAAGAACGGAGAGCCCAGCAAGACCAGCTGCTCCCACGAGTCAGGTATGCGGTCTGTGACCGCAAGCCTGACTGAATTTCCACTCGCCTGCACTGCATTTCCACTCGCCAAATGCGAGCAGGCGAGTGGAAATTTTGAGCCCTGCTATAGAGCCACTGAACGCTTGTATATATAACAGCTGTTACCGGCTGTTTACAAGTGGCGGTGTGTCCTGATCGTGCGCGCACTAGGGGTCACGTGCGAGCAGAAAAAAAAGCTGTATATTTACAGCGCCCCACTGGAAGGAGCTTGCCTTCCGTCCTTTTATTTACAATGGGCGGACGGCAAGTAGTTAATGGAATGCACGTGTGGTGACATCAGCACACTTGAAGTCCATTGACACACCTCCTGTCCCTGGTACTGAATGTCCGTATCTCTGTATGGACAGGGACGGGAGGAAGAATCTGCAGAAGCCAGAGCATTGCACCCACAATTCACTAATCGCAACTGCAAATGCTTTATTGGCACCCAAAAAACAAACATAAATGCACATTTTTTTCTATTAATAAATATGTGTGGATTTATTTATTATTTTTTTAAAGGTGGACTTCGCCAGTAAAGGTCGACTGTCCCTTTAAACAGTTGCAAAGATATCACAGTTATACTTACACGTGGCAAACTTGGGTTCAGAGTTTAAAGCGGACCTTTATCCATATCTTTAAAATAACAACAAACACACCTTTAGAAATGTTTAGTAATGACAATCTACAAACACATACTTCTAGATAATTGCCGGCTTTGTATTCTTTCCATACCTTACTTCTCTTTTCTTCCCCAGTCTTCTGACAGTGGCCATGTTTACTAAGGGCAGATTACTAGCTCTCCTATTACTTCCTGGATTTCTGGTACATGTGGCTAGGACATGTGACCATGCACATCATCTCAGGGGAGGAAAATGCCTTTCCCGGCAATCCCCTGAGATTACAGATGAGATTTCACAGCAATGCTCTGCTGATGACAAGACAATCCCAGGATGCATTGCTGTGCCAAACTGAAGTCATTTGCCTTTTCAAAGCAGGAAGTGAATGCTCTGCAATTGTAAGTATTTCACAATCACAGCATTTCACACCTGACATGTCTATGTTATTATTAATCATCCTACATAAAGGGATGCATTGGAAGAATTTGACTGTAAAGGTCAGCTTTAAGGTTTGTTTTACCGTGACCTACACCACTGTGTAAAGGGTGGACTTTTGAACATTAGGGTAGACTTACCTTACAAGTGTGCCCTTTTTTAGTGCTGTTGAATACTTAATCTGTCCCACGCCACCATCTCCACTGCCAACACGTCTGGGCTCACAGACTTCTTCTTTGGCCATTGTGTGTCCACAGATGATGACATGCACAAATGAGTTACACCTAGGCATGTGCGTTCATGGAATGCGTCAAAAATATGGTTGCCACCTTTTCTTCAAGTGAAACCCAAACACTTTAGTGCCGTGTGCGGCAATTGTTTTTTTGAGAATATAGAGGAGAGAGTGAGGAGAGGCAGCCAGGAGAGGGAGTAAAGAGACCAGCTATAGAGGACTACAAATCCCAGCAATACATTATACAGCAATACAAAATAATATGAAGCTACATACTCTGTGTTGATCTGTGTTTGCACCCTCATGTCTCTAGGTGGTCTGGTGGCCTGTGCGGGCTCTCAGATGGGCTGTGCGGGCTCTCAGATGAGCTGTGCGGCTCTCACGGCTGTCTGGGCTATGGTGTCTCACCAGGGGTCCGCAGGCGGGCAGCACGGTGTCAGGGAGACGGAGGAGAAATCACGGATGCGGCATTCAAGTTCCTCGGGCAAGCGCTATCTCGGGCAGCCGTATCTGCCTCAAACCTAGATCTTCCTCTGAGCTGCAGGCAGCCTGTAACCAGGGGCAGGCTGCCCGCATCTCAGAGAAAGAGCTGGCTTCAAGCCGATGCAGCTGCCCAAGATCGCGTTTGCCGAGGACCTCGGCAGCCGCATCTGTCAGAACATTTTAAGTGCCGGTGTCGGCACTGAGTGTCTTGTGTCCGGGTGCCGCTGACTGGACACAAGACTCCAAACCCGGACTGTCCAGGTGAAAACCGGATGGGTGACAACCCTAAATTCAAAAACATGCAACAAGCTTGCAGTGCCATTACTAGGTAATAGCACCTCAAACACAGCCAGGCAAATGCGAGTTTTTCCTGTGCATTTACATGCATTAAAATGCGCACAAACATATGGGGAAAAAAGTGGGACGCTTGTAACAGCATTGGCTACACGAGCTACTTTCCTGCGTTTGTCGTGCATGCAGGAACACATTGAAGTCAATGAACGATGTGCTGCAAACACCCAGGAAGGTGATGCACGTTCCCACTACGCTTAGGTGACAACAAGAGCTTAGAGAAATCGCTAGGGGACAGAGAGTTTTTCTTTTTTTGCTGAAGACTCTGCTCTTCGGCCAGAAATGCCGACCTTTTTTTAATTTTTGTCACCTGACTTCCTCTTTAAGAGGAACGTCACTGTAATGTCTCGGGGTACCGCACGTCATGGCGGTAATGGTGTGAACGAGCGCCAGGTGGCGCTGCAGCCGCCCGATCTGTTTATGTAAACATAGAAAGTGAAAGTACACAGACGGTACAATGTCTGGCCGCCGACACTCCGGAGTGAGCGGCTTCTACAACTGATCGTCCGCCATCACCTCTACCATGTCCGCTATACTCCTGGAAGACCTCCCGACCTCCATGGTGGATCAGACCGGGGTAGAGGAGGATGGGTCCAGCTTCCTGCTGGTGGATGAACAGGAGAACCTGCAGGTAGGCAGAGTCATGTGACTGTGTGTCACCCGTACATCCACAATGACTGTGCAATTAGAAAATCATGTATAGTGAGCGCATTGTGTTTGATTAAAGTGTGCTGCCACTTTAAGAGTGACGTCAGAAGCTGCTGTGAGAATGAATACAATGGAGGAGATTGATGGGGGAAGTTGTATCACCTTTATTCCAGCACGTGACTTCCCTAGACTGCGGTGTCAGCTGACACAGGGGGCCAGGGGGAGGTATGGGCCACAAAGAAATACACAATGCAATGGCAGAGAACTGCAACACATTGCTGCACATGGTGGACAACAAATGATGATTATTTGCTGTAAAGAGAAGAGTAACACATTCCTGTCCCAGAATGAGAGTGCTCCCATTCACTGTACTGTATGTATGGAGGAACAGCGTTGTCACCCTAGGACAGGAAGTGTGTTAGGATTATAGTACACCTCCCCCTCTTTATAACATAGGACAGGACTGATCATACTTCTTCAGATTTCGGTGCACAGGAAGTTACAACTTATCGAACAGATAAAACAAAACACTTTTCATGGTATATTTCATAGACACAAAGGAAGCAAATCATTGAAGTTCATCGTTCCAGTTTACATACACTTTGACCCCTAGTCTGTTGTATGCGCACTTCTTCCTGAATATAAACCAATCGTATGTAATCCCTTGAGCAAAGTACACAACACTAACACCCCCCTAGCACAAGGAGAAGATGGATTGGTGTCATGTCCAGCTCATCAGAATTAGCAGATTGCACTGATCTAGCCCACATCTGAGAAATAACTTTATTGACTCTGTGCAGGACAAGGAGATTTCTAGTAGTAACTTCTCACCAAATATAAAGTGTCACTTAAAGGGTAAGTTCACTTTCCCAGGGGAATTTGGGAAAATGGAATTACCCCTCCAATCTGGGTATGCTGGGTGGAAGATTTCAAATCGGCTCCTTTTAGTGTTTTATTTATATACTTATGTGTTTTACTGCATACATAAAGATATATATTTATATGTTATTCTGTTTTGTGAATACATCGTTTTTGGAACCTCAGAACAATGATGCTCTATCATTAGGGGCTCAACATAAAGAACAGTGGAGGGCATCTGATTAGGAAGAAGAATATAACAATCAATCAAATGAACTATTAGCAGGGGATAATTGTAAATCTATTGTTGCAGTGCGTTCTAAATGTAGTATATAGTACATGTACAGTACATATAGAGTGCACTGCAACAATACATTTACAATTATACTCTGCTAATATGAATGGATTAAATGATCCCTAGTACAGGGCTACATATGGATCATTTAATCCATTCATGTTAGCAGAGTATAATTGTAAATGTATTGTCTGCATTGTCTGCACTGTATTAGCATTGTGTACTCTATATGTAATACATATAGAGTATATACTGCTCATACAGTGCAGACAATACATTTACAATTATACTCTGCTTAATAGTGAACCCCCGCCCCTCCATCTGCCCTCACTCACAGTGTTCGAACACCGGAGAGAGCAGCGATGAGTCAGCGCTGGTCCAGTGGGAGGAGCTCCAGTTGGGGTTCTAATTTAGCTGGCTCAGAGGTGCCGGCCAGCTAAATTATTAGAATCCCACCTGGAGCTCCTCTCGGCGGACCAGCGCTGACTTGCCGCTGCGGTTTTTGGTTTTCTTTTCTTACTTGCCGAGCGTCGCGTCACTGCTGCTCCAGTGGGCGGCGCTCCGAGCGAGGTCATCTGGCAGTCTCCGACCACCTAAATTAGGACCCCACCTGGAGCGCCGGCCACCGGAGCAGCAGTGACGCGACGCTCGGCGAGATAAGTAAGAAAAAAAAAACCATAGCGCAAGCTTCGGCACTATGTATCGGGGCATTTTGACAAGTACTTGTCAAAATGCCCTGTACCGGGCCCGATTCCGATGCTAGCATCGGTATCGGGACATCCCTAAAATGAACTATACCCAGTGGTCTAAGTAATTATGCAGCAGTTTTTACATGGGATATGTCCTGCTTGCCATGGGTGACTTTGAATACAGTTACTGAATAATTCCATTTTCTTTTTTTGCAGGTAAAAGATGTGGACGACTTCATCAATAGACTTGGATGTAGTCCACAGGAACCTGTGAAAGTCCTCAGTATTTTCGGCAATACCGGAGATGGCAAGTCGCACACACTCAACCACATGTTTTTTGGGGGTCTGGAGATCTTCAGGACCTCTCCTTCCCAGGATTCCTGCACAGTGGGGGTATGGGCTTCATACTACCCAGCATTGTCCTTGGTACTGCTGGATACAGAAGGTCTCCTGGGGGCCACAGATAAACAGAACCAGCGCCTGCGTCTCCTCCTGAAGGTTCTTGCTGTGTCGGATCTGGTCATTTATAGAACAAGGGCTGAGAGGTTACACAACGATATGTTCCAGTTTTTGGGGAATGCCTCTAAGGCTTATTTGAAATTCTTTACTCCTGAGCTGAAAGCCTTATCTAGTCGCTGTGGGCTGGAGGTAACGCTGTCCAGTCTTGGACCGTCCCTCACAGTTTTCCATGAGACTTCTCGGACTGATCTGCTGGGTTATGGTAAGAAGACAGGGTCGAACTGTTATCATAAGGCTTGTACAACAAGTGATAGGTCCCATTTGTCCCTAAAATGTACACGTTAAATATACACTTGACAGTGACTAGTAGTCACTGGAGCCATTTTTTAAAATGTATTTTATTTTTTATCCGATTAACCGATTAATCGAACTTAATAATCGGCTAACTAATCGATTTTAAAAATAATCGTTAGCTGCAGCTCTATGCAAGTTTGTGATCACTGAACACATTTTATAGTTTCCCTTTATTTTTAGGGTACTTGATGTTGGTATGGGAGGCAGGCTGGGCGCCTGAGCTGGGAACTCTGCCTGTGAGATCTCACTGCTGTAGTTTCTAAAACTCCAGCCCTCCAGCTTTAACAGTTTTGTTTTTAGCTGGGTTAGACTTTAATTTTGTTTTGGTATATGTTACCCTTCCATCATCCATGTTTTCTCATTCCCTGCAGGAAGCAAGGTCCGCGGCCAGGCAGAGACAGACCTCCTAAAACGATTCCACGAGTTGGGGACTCCTCCTGAAGCTTTTAGCTCAATTCACTATGTGGGAACCAAGACTGTGGTCCCCCCCAGTGACTTCTCTCACTTAATGGACAGGGTGAAGAAACAAGTTATGGATACATCCACTCGCTCATCCAGACCGCTATCCCATGTTTTTACAGCCTTACAGGTAAGACTTGAAAATATAGTATAGCCATGTGATCACCATTGGTCCTTTTTTGGCACCAAAAGAGATGGATGGCCAACCTTAAGAAACCCTTCATACTAACCAAAACTTTAGCTCTAACACTAGCCGTAACCCTAAAGAGGAACTAGACCAGGGGTCAGCAACCTTAAACACTCAAAGAGCCATTTGAACCCGTTTCCAACAGAAAACACCGGGAGCCACAAAACCCTTTTGACATCTAAAATGAAGATAACACGGCATATATCGTTTTTTACCTCCTATGCTATGTATGTATATAGGTATATGTGGGCTTAGTAACGCACTGGACTCTGGGCTTAGTAACGCACTGGACTCTGGGCTTAGTAACGCTCTGGGCTTAGTAACGCTCTGGACTTACCTGAGACCCCGCAGAGCTCACCTGAGAGTGACCCTGCAGAGCACACCATAGATCCTGCACAGCCCATCTGAGACTCTCTATGTGGGCTCTGCAGGGCCTCAGGTGGGCTGGTCGCCCTTTCCCTGTACCTCCTCCCAACTCCTCTTACCTGCTGCTGGGGTCTGGCCTCCTCCACCCCCTCCCCTGTCACCGCTGCCATGCCGCCCCTGGTACAGCTGATGCTCATGAAAGAGGCCCTCCAGGCTGCCCAGACCCCTCACATGGGTACCGGCCGTACCCCCCAGATGGCAGTGTTCTATCAAAGTTTGTGACTGCGTTACAATGTGTGACCGTTGACGTGGTCACACATTGTGACTGCCAATAGGTCAAGCATTCCATTGCTTTCTCAGCGAGGCCCCTTCAGTAGTTCCGCCCCTGGACAGGGAGCCGCAGCAGAGGGATGAAAGAGCCACATGCGGCTCCGGAGCTGCAGGTTGCTGACCCCTGAACTAGACCCACCAATTGAATGTCTTCTAAAACAGTTATTTTTTCAAATAGCTCATGTCAAAGCTGATCACAAGTGCAGCATCATGACAACTGCAATCCATAGAGACTAAGATGTCACCTTCCTTGGCTGTAAAGGATAGGAGGGTGTAGTTTCACTTTAACACTAATCCTTCTAAAATGAACACGACCCGTTATTTGCATACACATCTATCCTGTGCTGGATTTCTCTGCACTAAAAGATGATAGCGCTGGAATTTTTTTTCCTGTAAGCGTCCACTCCTCCTCCTCCGCATTCCATTGTTAAGTAGGACTTTACTGGGGAAAGAAATTGTGCCTAAGGTACAGTGGGAATGTCCCCTGCTTCCTTCCTGCATGGCCTATGCTGTCATCATGATGTAGAAAACGGTTATCTAGTTTTTGGGTGTTCGAGTGCCGGGTTTACATTTTAGTTGCTGTTCGCATTTAATAAAGAGGGTCAATTACTTTAAAACAATATCCTGCTTCTAAGCCTTTTTTGACATGACATTAAATATTTACCAAAAATTGGTGGCAAGTTGCAGCAAGTTGTACTATTCATTTTAAGGTGGTTCCAGAAATGTCTATTGTGCCATATAATTTTTTTCTAAAATCTTTATAATAGCCCCACTTAAAGACAACCCACTTTAGAGTGCACCTTCATTTTCCTTTCATTCCTTTGTATACATCTGTCTCGGTATATTGGAGGGATCGGTGGGTGAGGGATGTGTAGGATTGACTTTATGTTGTTGTATTTTTTCTGCAGAGTCTTAGCGAGCGATTCTCTGGGGATATTCCAGATGATCAGGTGCAGATCACCTCTTTCTTCCCAGATGAATACTTTACCTGTTCGCTGCGGTGCCTCAGTTGCAGGTAATTATGACATTTCACTTCCTCAGAATATTAAATGGAAACTGTAATAGTTTGTGGTCAGTCTTCTATATAGTCTATAACTATAAAAGTTATGTTTACTGATATTTTGTATCTAGTGTTTGTTTTTGTTTTTTGCTTTTTATGTTTTTTTGTTTTTACAAATACACAGCTGTTTAGTCTTTGTTGATGGGAAAGAGAATTATGTTTTGTTCCTCTGATTGATTTAGGACTAGTTCACACCAGCCAAAGTGGATTCTGGCCCGATTGGGCATTGCGGCCAGCTCACTTTTTGTGTTGGGGCGGGAGGGGGCGTGGAGATGCATTGAACTCAATGGCACCGTAACCACGACCCTCTGGCCACAGTGCGATCGGCCGCACGGGAACGCGTGGCACATCAATGCCTGCATTCCGGTCTGGTCAAAAAAAATAGTGCTTGCAGGCCCCCTCCCACCCCAACACAAAATAAGCCGACCGCAATGCGATCCAGTGTGTTCTGGCCCCAATCAGGCCGGAAAGCACGGTGGCTGGTGTGAACTAGCCCTTAGTTGTGTGTGTACATTTCAGCTTGGGGTGTTGAGCCCAGTTAAAGGAGTAGTATTGGGCCAGCATGGGAAGCTGCAGCTGTCAAACCCTGGCTCTATAGATCGAGAGCTGAGCAGTCGTGTGACCGCTGATCGTTCAGCTCATGGTCTTCTCATTGCAGAGAGCGGTGACTGTCAGTCACCGGTCCCGACCGGGGGTTCCCCCCTTTCCGATCCCTCAGCTCTCACTGGTGGACAGACAGGGGAGGGGCGGGCACAGCTGGCTCTGGCTCTGAAGAGGCAGAGTCAGCTGTCAATCAGAAAGAAGGATGCATGCCAACAATATTGTTGGGATCCTTCCCGGCTGCAGACTGGCTCTGTGCCATCAGCAAATAGCAGGTAGTAGCCTGCTATATGCTGATTTTGGGCCATAGGCATACATTAGTAAATCTACTCCTGTGACCCAGAAGAGAAGTAAAAGTTCTCTTTTTAACAACTGGCTTTTTTTTAAATCAAAGCCAAAAGATAGCCTGGAAAAGGTGTGGCTGAAAATAATACAAAATAATCACACGCAATATTTTTTTAACTAACTAAAAAGTGTATTAATGTAAAATTATATACTAGTATCAGTATTGGTGCCAATAACCAAACTTCCGTTTTAGAGGGATATTTCCTCTGACCGGCAGTGCTGCAAGGGAACATGGAGCCGGCTTCCCGGCCAATCAGGAAGCCGGGCAGCAGGTAATGTCTCGCTTCCCGACCAATCGGTATCGATCCGGCCAAACTGCATGGAGCCGGTACCGGCGAGTACCGATAGATAAATATCAGTACTCATACTCGATGCAGAAAAACCGGTATCGGTGCATCCCTAGTGATAAACAGTATCTAGCCCAGAGAACTGAGGGGCCTGCATTGCCCTGTGTACGGAAGACCAGACAAGGGATATTATTCCTAAGCAATGCCTCTGACAAATGGATCGTACGGTTGTTGGATAAGCCTTAGATAAATATTTATATTGGTTATACGGCTTATCTATGGTGGATTAAAGTAAATAGGAAGCATTGAAGATTGTTTTTATGTGTGATTTGGCAAGGTGAAGAAATACTTGAGAGGAGATGGCTGTGTGAAAACAATTTTAGTTATGTGAAACCGTTCATAATAGGGATGCACTTGCACTGTGCTTCACTTATGGGGAACAAATGAATCACACACCACTGTGATGGGTTTGTACATGGCTTTGACACTGAGGGTGCACTAGAAGGAGGATGCATGACTCTTGCAATCAAGCACTTTCTATTGGTGCACTTTTGAGCATTCATCCAACAGAATAAATACCACTCCCTTAATGCTACATTGAATGCTTATGTACAGCTTGTTAGTATGTTTATTTTTGCTACACAGCCCCAGAGGCATAACATCATAGTGCTTGTAAACTTGAGCAGTCGTAGGTCAGCTTCTTCCAGGACCACGGAAAGGAAGCTCAGAGGTGATACCCGTTGGGCAGTGTGGTCACGTGTCCGCTCGAGATTGCCTGCATTATGATGCTTGACAACCTCCGGGCTGTGTAGTGAATTGTGCAGCCTGTTACATCGACTGGCATGGGCAGGGAAGCATGTGATCCAAGCAGCAGGGGTTAGGGGGGATGTTGAGGGTGTTGTGAGTTGGTTCACTTTTTGATTTTCTTGTGAAGAGGTGAACTAACCCTTTCAACTAGTTAAAGTAAATCTAAACCCAATCACTCAAATCTCATATAAGAGTTAACATGTTAATGTAGTTTCACAAGTTGTCTTTTCAAATCTGCAGCTTTCATTAAATAATATCTGGTGATCCTGGTTCAGGCACTTCCTGTCTCCTAGTTGTGGTCTTCTGTTGCCACCCTGTTAGATGTACCCCTGATGGATCCTACAAGCAGCAGTGCAAACACACATTGCTCAGGCATGGTCTGCTGTTGGCACTATCAGGAAGATGGTCCTGGGCTATGATGTGCATCCAACGCTGGAGCGAGTGAATTTTGGACAGGAAGCATTTGTCTTGACGTTGAAAAAAAAAAAAAAAGGAGGTGACAGCAGTTTTAAAGAGAAAAAATTAACTTTCCAATTGTTTTTGATACACAATGCCTCAGAAACTAAATGTTGTCCAGTTAGGGATTGCATTCACTTTAAACATGTTTTGTGTAATCATAGCACAGCAAGAACAGAAAAAATAAATATCAGCTTCCCCTTTATGCAGCATGAATCTGGAGCAGCAAGTATTCCGTGTTAGTCGGTACATTAGCCTGTGTTTTCTGAATAATTTCTTTATAACCTACAGGGCACGCTGCAAGAACAGGATGAATCATATGAAGGATGGCGTCCCCCACCAGGCAGATGGTTTGTGCCAGTTTGCCCATGAGTATAACAATAAAGTTCTGATCTGTAAGGTGAGTGTCACAAAGATGAAATACTTTTCTGCTGTTCTGTTCTGCCTTATGCCTGACAAATAGGCATGAAGAAAGGAAGCAATGGGGATGCAGACAGCAATAAAAAGGTGGCAGAGGTACTAAACCTTTCCCAATCCACCTAAAAGCTTATACATAGCATACTTGCACATTGGGACACACTTATATTACAGGTGGGCCCTTCTTTAGCGCTGTAGGAATCGATCTTTGGTCCCCCACTCTGTCCCCCATCTCCGTTGCCAACACTTCTGGGTTCCTAGGTATCCTCTTCGGCTATTGGGTGGCCACTGATGATATAACTCCTGTGCATGCACACAGGAGTTACATCCTCCCTCCAATCAGCCCCATTCATAGCATCTTATAGATGCTATGAATGGGCTGAGCGTGTACACTGCACCACGTGTGTGCCGTACAATGTTCACAGGAAATAAAAAAAATTGCTGGGGGAGAGGATTATTTGGCCAGAACAGACTTTGCATGTCTCTTCTGGCAAAAATCCTAACCTCCCAGCCATTTTTTATTCATACTGACTTCCGCTTTAAAGTTTTGGCTGGAGTTGGGCTTATAGGTGGTCTCACAACTGGAAGCCGCGCTAAACGCATGACCACTGGTGCAGTGAGTGAAACAGCGCAGATGCGCTTATGCCGGCGCATTGCACCATTTCTTTTTTTATAGACCATTATTGAAATGTCACAAATGACCTTTTATACAGACGCAGTGCGATGCGGTTGTACCATGTTGCAGCATGCTTTGCTGGGAAAAAACTGCATGGCGTGAACTGAGACAATTAAAAACAAGGCTATTGCCCTATTAGTGCGTGCGGAAAAGACGACCAGCACAGCCCCAACGTATCTGATGTGAATCAGCCCTTACATCTGGAATGTGTATAGCTATATTGCAACCAAAGGCAAGCTTACTTAGAAATGATCTCGATATCGCTGCATACGTAAATAGTAAAAGCTGCACTTGCATCTTGTACCTTGATAGAAATGTGTCCTTTCACAAATCTTTGCATATGTATGTAGCTGAGATCTCTGCCTTAATTAAAATGATAGAACTGCTTT